TGGGTGGCGTATGTTGCGTAGAACAGAATAGTACAGGAAACGGGCGGATGAAAAAAGCGGTGCGATAAATATTGTCAAGCCATTCAAGTTACTCAATACCGACACTGCAAATATAGAATAAAGAATCGCGCGTAATCGAAACGAACGAATAAAAAAATTGCCAAATTTATATAATTTTTAGTTTTATTTAATATTTTATCTTTTTTTAGTGCCAACAATTAGGGAAAGCACGGTTGTGATTAGTGTGATTATTGGGCGAAATAACGAAGAAATTGAAAGTGAATAATAATCGAAGGGTCGTACTTTTACTTTTCGGTTGACGTTAGTTTGAATTTTACGTTTAAGTACCGTCGCATCTTCATTAAAATACATACATACCTACATACATAAATAAACGTACTTTATACGCATAGGTGAATAAGTGTTCTAAGACCAATTGGTGTTTGCGATAAGTGGCAAGTTATAATGGCAGGTGGCTACGGCGATCGAGGCAGCCGAAATCATATAAAAAAATTCCCATCATTGCGTACGGCTGCACTATGGGCTGGAATACTCGGATTGGTAAGTATTTCAAGCAAAGAAAAGGTGTGAAAGCACTGGAAGCACAAGTCTTCCTTATTTGGAGATTCAGTGAAACTTTTGGAACATTGTAAGCAATGCACCAAGGCTAAAACGATCGAGTGATGATATTCTTTTAAATAGTTCCAGGACTATCACTATTCGGTATTTTTATCCGTATCAAAATTTAAATTTAAATGAGTGGTGGGCAAAACCGTCAACATTCAAATTTGTAAAGTCTTTCCGGTCTTCCCGTCCGGTGTAGGGTAATCGCAGTTCCAGATGCAAACAAGGTAATATCTTAAGAGATTCTGATGGGTGTCTTGACTGGGTACTGCCTTAAAATACTCAAGATTTCCTTTTCGCAACCGTTTAGAGCCTATTTCATATTACTTTATCAGCACTGACCCTGCAAAGGTTCAAATTCCCGACCCTCAAAGTGGCTTTCCCAGTCACTTCTTCTTTATACATACATAGTTAACTTTTTATATTCCAAGAGGTCGTTGGTCAATATGTTAGGCTCAAAACTCGTTCATTTCATATCTATAGCTATAATATGACCGCATTTTCGTCAGTAGATCACAAAACATTGACTGTTTAGCAAATTGTACCCAGCCGGTTGACGGTTACATTCATTTTAGTATTGCCATAGCACTTCACCCAGCAACAAGTGAATTTGAGGTGATCCATCAAAAACTATCAATACGCGAATAAACCTATTGTTGTGTCGACACATATATATATCAGAACAGGTATTCACTCAATTAACAAAAAAAATGTTAAGCCAAAATCATTCATTCGTTTTGTATATGAATAATTCATAAGCCGTTTTGAATGAATTCATGCAGCCCTCTGATATACATATATCGTTACCCTAATATAGACATGCCATGCAGAGTGTCCAGATTTGGCGATTTCGCGTCTATTTGGCGATTTTTTGCGACTTTTTCCCTTCAAAAAATTGTTTTCCAATTACAAAAATATACAAAACTTAATTTTCCACGATAATTTTACAGAAGAGAACTGCCTCATAAACTTGACTTAAGAAGCATATTAAAAGACTGTCAAAAATGTTTCATCACCCTAATCGAAGAACTTTTGAATCGATTACCTAGTCAATTAAATACTTTAAAAAAAGCTTTGATCCACCAGAAAAGCGTGTGAATCACAAGAGGGCGAGTTTCAGCGACCTGCCAATTCACTATTTGACTTTGAAGGAAAGAAAAGCAGCGGAAACTGAATATTTAAATCTTTCAACTTTCCCATGGAATAAAATTCCATCCAACTCTGAAGAATTTAGGATAATTGCTTACGGAGTGAAAACCGCAACAGGCAATAAAATGTTTGGAAATATAAGTAAAGAAGCCTTCACATTATAATCCTTGCCGAAATAGGATGAGGTTGGAAAGCCTTAATTCAATAGTTCGAATAAACTGTTATATGAAGGCTAATAGTTTCTGCTGAAAAACGTTTCCTATATCAAACAGTATGTTATCAAGGTTGAATAGCTAAATATATGACAACAACAGAAATATAAATGATTCAGACACTATAGGTGATTTTGAAGAAATTGCGGGAATAGCTGATCTAGCCTTATAATAGGTTTTTATTTTATTTTTAGCACCGAGCTCTTAAAAGCGGATTACGCGATTAATCAATTAATATGAGTTATAATAAATTTCATAATTGCGCAGTCATATTGCAAAATGTGTTGAAACAAATATTTTTAAAAATTATCTGTATTTTAAAAAAAATTGTTTATACATATATATATAATAGTGATTTGTGTTGTTTATTATTACCCTCTGAAGGTATTATATTCGTTTTTGGTTTTTTATGACAAGATCTAATTTTTAAAATAAAAGATTTGTTAAATCGATTTCATGAATTTTATTAAAAAAAAAAAATTGGCGCAAGAAAGAAACAAAAATGTTAGATAGGGTTTTTCTATGTTAAGGTAAAAGATATGTACATATACATACATACATACACACGTATCCGCGCACGCTTTGGAAGTGCGTACACATGTGTATATTTGCAAACATTTGTAAGTACACACTCGAAAATTCTTAAACACACATGTGCTCGTTTTATAAAAGAACTTTGGTTAGTGATAAAATTGTCGGCAAATTTGTGGACTGAGGAATTTATTTTGCGCGCTTTATCAGGAAACATGCTTTTTATGATTAATTGATTATTATTTGGAGTGTTTGCTCATGATTTTCAATTTGTGAAGGCGGACCTCCGTAGCATGCGTATCCGTATGCGTGCGTTTGACATTTGCGCTTAGAAATCAAAATTCATACAATTTTATTACATTTTCATGCGTTGCTATGTAGGTGCTGCCATAAAAATTTGTATATTCAATTTTTCTGTCAAACGCACGCATACGTTATACGCCTGCTATGGAGATCCGCCTTTAGTAATTACACTTCTTATCAAAATTGGTAGATTTTTTCCTCTCGGTATTTTTAAATGAGTTTTGGTAGGTTTTCGTTTTATATTTAAAAATAACAATAGATATTTTTACTAAATAAATATTAAAATAATGTTTTATATAAAAAGAAGAGGCGAAATTCAATATATAAATTTTCCCATATTTTAAGCTTACATAAATATAAGAGCACTTGTTTTGAGAGGTGCTAACGGATTTGAGTAATTTTGATAGAAAATTTATTTTACATTTCTTGAGCGTGTTTTTGTGTGCGTTTTTTTGTTTTTATTGAGAGCTGCAAAATATGCTTTACACTCAGACGTGACATTATCGCAATTGGTGTTACGGCACTTTATAAAAATTGACAAAACCCCAAGGAAAAAAATTGGCTCTTTGTCCCTATATATGGAGGGACATAACCCAAATTAAAAATTGGGATTACTTCATGTCAAATGCGCTTGTATTCACTCGTCTTCTAAAACTTGCTGGTTTGTATATGTAAATAAATCAGTAAAAATCTTGCGATCGTGGAGCTGGTAAAGTTTCCGGAATTCCGGGATTGAATGCCCTAATACAGTGGTTCCCACTGGCGACCCACCGTCCCCATCGTAATAACTCCACGGTCCATCGGTCCATGGTGGAGTAAAATACCTAAATTTGTATCACATCCCTTCCTTATGTACCTATATATAATTTACTATCAAATATTGCAAATATATATACGATAGACTGGCTCCTAAAAGTGAATTTTCAATCGCCCGGCAAGAAAAAGTTTCCTTTTAGGCCACGCACAGCCGGGAGAGTATGAAAGTGCGTGAAATATAGGCAAAATGGGTTGTTTTATTCCCAATCACAGAAATCGAGACGTTTTCAATTAGTTTACTATAATGCCCGATTTTCATTGATATTTCCTATTCGGAAAGCTATCAAAGTCCAAAATCAGTTAAAAATTGAGAAAGTTGCAGGAATAATATTAGGAAAACAAATTCAGATAGTTTGGACATAATTAAACCGTGCGACAAAAACAAATAAATTTCACACGAAAGAATCGATGTACTAACTTTGGGCCAAATATAGTAAAACTGCGTTTTTAGTTTTTCACTCTTACGTCAGATTTTTTTTATTCAAAGGACTTTGAAATTTTAAAGATATGATCAATTCCAAAAATTATTTAAAAAAATCAGTGAAAATGCGTTTTTAATAACTTTTATCTTTTTAAGTCAATAAAGGTTGCAGTACAAATTCGATAATGAGGTCGTATATTAGTCTTCAAACAATAATAAAAAAAAATATATTGCAAATTTTTAGGGATATTTAAGGACAAAATTTGTAAAGGAACATTTTCCATACCCATTCGTCATTATGCACCAAAAAATTTATTGTGTTATAATTCTACAGAATTTTTTCTTTTATATGATACTCGTATTGTTGCCCTACACTGCACTGAATTTCTTAAAAATCATATTTTTTAAATGTCAAAGTCCTTAAAGAAAACCTAAGATCGTGGTTACATACATACATATCTATGCTATTGTGCTGATAATTATCTGCAAATGTAAATATAAATTTAAAAAGTTTGTGGTTAAATATAATTACGCGCATTATATTTCAGAATGAAAAACTACACAGAAGTAGACACAACGCCAAAGTATGACAGAAATTCGTTCCTTAGCTGACGTAGTGCAATCATAATCGTGGCAAATATATTTGAATCGCTTTGTACTTCCCTTTTGCTTGATAAAAGACTTATTGCCCGGGGGAATGAAATAATGTTTGGTAGATGACAAGGCTGAAAAAATTGAGTCATCTCATTTATTAAGAGTATGAATCATGCCTCGTTTTCGTATGTACTCGTTTCCGCTAATCAGATTTTTATCTCTAATTAAACGCTGCAAAATTTCACAGAAGTTATATGAAATGTATAATACCTCTGTTATTATATATTTGTTTACTTTTTGCTTACACATTTAAAGTTTGCTTTGTTATCAAAAGAAGCGACTTACTATTTACCTAATACTATTAATTCAAGTACATATTACCGGTACGCCATGCCATGCTTCGATAAGTAAAATATTTAGATTTTTTATTTGTCGGATACTTAAAATAGAAGAGCATAGTTTTAATTTAAACAAATACTCAACCAGTTATATACACCTGTGGGGATTATTGAGCTTTTAGCCTTGAATGTTGAAAAAATTGATTAAAATTAAAAAAGATGGTCATGCCAGTATAAAGTACTGAGTCTGT